TATAAATGTTTAGAAGGTGTTTATTACAATTATAATTTTTTTAATGTAAAAATTTTTTAAATTTTTTATATTTATAAACATATATTTATAAAATCTTTTATATTTATAAACATTTTGTTGTTTTATCTTTATGTTATAATTGCTGTATTATCAAAATTTAAAAAAGGAAATAGTTCGTTAACCGAAAGACAATTTAAAGAAGCGATTCAGGCGGTCTTAAATAATGTGAAAGATTGGAACGGAAAACGAACGGAACGTCGAGAGCGCGCAAAAGTTACAAATAATATTATAGAAAAAGTAATGCAAAAGAAGATAGTAGTACAGAAGAAGAAATATTACAGAATAAATATACTTAAAAAATGTTAAAAATGTTAAAAAGTGTTAAAAATGTTAATGTTAAAATATGTAAAAAAATGTCTATTAAAAAATCTATAAAAGTCTTTAAAAGTCTTTAAAAGTCTATTCATTACATACAATTAATAAAGACTTAGTTATAATACATAATACATTTGTATATTACGTATATTTATCATCAGGTCCTCTTCAGGTTGCCTACCCATGACCTTATATATTTTCTTATAAGGACCTTATATATTTTCCTATCCATGACCTTATATATTTTCCTTATAAGGGCTTGATTATTATAGTCTATAAGGACTTTATAGGAAAACAGCGTTACATACTTACTCGGGTCCCGATAAGGCAATAGTACCAGGTCCCGACAACTAAATCAGGCAAACATTATAGGGTCCTTATCAGGACCCTATTTTAATTTCTAGTCGGGATACATAATCAAACATGACTACATACGCAGTCATGTATAATAATATATAACATTATATGACATCATATATAATATGATACATTTTCATACACGATGAGGTCTAATCATGTCATGATCATACATGGCTTATGTATGATTATGCATTTTTCTGTATGATCAGACCTGAAAATTTTTTCTCGGGATGTCTACTAAAGATGACATTTTATTGACATTTTCTGCTTGTGAAGATGTCATCGTAATAATTGATGTTGCATTAATTTTTTCCTACAAAGAAATATATTTACTGCGGTTTCTAATTGAATATAATTCATAAAACTAATTATTTATATTACATTATGCGTGCTGTTATAAGGTATTTTCATGAAATTTGCCAATAGTATAATATTGGCAATGTAAACTTGAAACAATTAAACTAACCGATTTTCTCCAGTTTTTTGCAGATAAAGGGTATAGCGGGTTAAGGAGGTGATTTCGGGCCCCGCGCGTAATCGATCGTTATAGTGGGTAAAATGTCCACCCAGATAAAAGAAAATTTTGTGCCAAGTTTCATTTCAAAAGACCCACACAATTTCGAAATATCACAAGAGATGTGATTTTTTTTGATATTTTTTTTCTCCGCCAAATTTGAATTAATCTTTACAAAAAAAATCATGGTTACAAAGGCTATCCATATACATAAGTTTGAATTTTGTTGTCGTTCTGTGCTGAAAATTCTGTTTTAAAAAAAATCCAGAATATTTTAAATCGCATTTTCTCTAGATCTAAAAAATTGGCCACTTTTAAAAAAAATTCAGTAGATAAGTCTTATGCCATATTATATTCGATATTTTTTTCAGATTTTTTTATTGGTGGAACGTGGCGAAAAAAAATAAAATCGGTTTTTTTNTTATTTTT